TGAGGGTGGCGGGTGACCCCCAGAGAGGAGGGACAGGAAGTGAGGGTGCAGACGGCATCGCCAGGCAGCAGGTGGCTCCGGCAGACCCCGGACCTACGCCCGCGTCATCCAGGGAGGGAGCGGAAGGCAGAGCAGGAGGCCTGGGTCCGTGACGCAGGGAGAGGGGAGGATGGTGCGGGGGGCAGCCCTGGCCGTGTGGGGAAACTGAGGCAGCCACCAGAGAAGGAGGAGTGGCAGAGACCTCGGGAGCTGTCCCTGGGGTCAGGGCCGCTCTGCCCACACCCGTGTGCGGCTGGGAAAATATCCAGGGGAAAGGGGTGGGCAACACCTGGAGCTCAAGGGGGCGTGGCTCACCATGGCACCCGCCCCTAACAGAAGACCCCAGCGGGTTGCCCCACAGCCTGGCGCGAAGCCCTGGGCTGGAGTCTGCTCTGGCCCTGCCCACGAGGTGAGGGACCCTCGGCAGGCTGCAGAGCGCGTCTGAGACCTCGCTGCCCAGGAGTCGTGGCCCCGCCACGCCCAGCACCTAACACGAAACCACCGGGCTCGGATTCGGAAGACACGGAGCACGGCCAGGGGAAGCCCAGAAGCAGGGAAAACCCAGACCCAGCTCCAGTAGTAGAATTGGAAGACCAGGCGTCCACACCGGTACGAGTGTGCTCTGTGTTTTCAAGCAGAAGTGCGAGAGAGAAACGGAGGACACTGTGCTTTCTTAAAGAAAGACTTTATTCATGCTTTTGAGAGGCAGAGTTAGTTACAGAGAGACAGAGGGGGGGAGAGAGAGAGAGAGAGAGGGAGAGAGAGGGAGAGAGAGAGGGAGGAGAGAGAGAGGGAGAGAGAGGGAGGGAGAGAGAGGGAGAGGGAGAGGGAGAGAGAGAGAGGGAGAGAGAGGGAGAGAGAGAGAGGGAGAGAGAGGGAGAGGGAGAGGGAGAGACAGAGAGGGAGAGAGAGAGACAGAGGGAGAGAGAGAGAGAGAGAGACAGAGACAGAGAGGGAGAGAGAGAGAGAGAGAGAGAGAGAGAGGTCTTCCATCTGCTGGTTCACTCCCCAGATGGCCACAATGGCTGGAGCTGCACCGATCCGAAGCCAGGAGCCAGGAGCTTCTTCCGGGTCTCCCACGTGGGTGCAGGGGTCCAAGGACTTGGGCCATCTTCCACTGCTTTCCCGGGCCATAGCAGAGAGCTGGATGGGAAGTGGAGCAGCCGGGACTAGAACCAGCGCTCCTGTGGGATGCCAGTGCCACAGGCAGCAGCATAACCATCGCACCCCAGTGCAGGCCCCAATACAAGTGAGTTTTTAAAGCAAAAGCAACATATAGTGAAAATAAAAATATCTGTAGAAATACAACACGTGACAACCATAGATGCCTCCCGGGAGGGACAGATGGAGGTGACGTCATTTAAATTCAGAGAGGAAGTGGGGGCTCCACACGCTGCTCCCCAGAACCTGCTGAACACTAGCTTGTTTTGGAAGTCTTTTGCAGGTGGAATTAAATTCAAGATCTTTTTTCTTTTTATTTATTTGAAAGTCAGAGTTACACACAGAGAGAGAAGGAGATGCAGAGAGAGAGAGAGAGAGAGAGAGAGGTCTTCCATCTGCTGGTTCACTCCTCAATTGGCCGCAACAGCTGGAGCTGCACCGATCTGAAGCCAGGAGCCAGGAGCTTCTTCCGGGTCTCCCACGTGGGTGCAGGGCCCAAACACCTGAGCCATCTTGTACTGCTTTCCCAGGCCACAGCAGAGAGCTGGATCAGAAGTGGAGCAGCCTGGACTCAAACCGGTGCCCATATGGGATGACGGCACTTCAGGTGGCAGCTTTACCTGCTACGCCACAGCACCAGCCCCCAAATTCAAGATCTTGAGACGAGGTGACCTCAGATCTTAGTGAGCCCTGAACCCCATGACAAGCGTCCTCCTAAGGGCTGCGCAGGGCAGGGGCGGGCGCCGTGGTGCCCCGGGATACGTTGCTGTCTGGCGCCACATCCCACATGGGAGCGACTGTTGGAGAAGCTGACGCCTCTGCTTCTGACCCGGCTCCCTGCTGGTGCGCCCAGGGGGCAGCAGATGATGGTCAAGGCCTCCGGGTTCTGCCACCCGCGTGGGAGACCCGGATGGAGCTCCTGGTTCAGCCCCGGCTGCTGTGGCCAACTTGGGAGGGAACCAGAGGATGCAAGACCTCTCCACTCCCAGCCGTCACTCTGCCTTTGACATAAATAAATAAGCCTGTTTTACAGAGAGACAGAGAGCACCGTGACCACGGAGGGAGCTATCAGGATGACGCAGCCACAGCCCAGGGAGGCTGGCAGCCAGCCGAGGCTGCGGGAGGGACAGAACAGGTTCCACTCCGGCCTTCAGCCTCCGGAGCCGTGGAGGGAAGGAACTGTGTTGCTTTAAGCCCCCCAGTGTATGGCAGTCGGCTTTGGCAGCCCCAGGACGGTCTAGAGCAACCGCGGGAAGCGCACAACAGAAAGGCAGCTCGCAAGCCGGTCCTGGCATAAACGTAGCTCCCGCCAAGGCCCCCACTCGAGAGAAACAGGAAAGAGGAAAGACTGGTGGGACATGCGGAGTGCAGGAGGCCCAGGCCGCAGCTGCGAGAGTTGAATGGGCTCGGGGTTCCTGGGAGGGGCACGGGACAGGGGCGCGGGCGGGCAGCACGGGCTGCTGGTTGCGGCCATGGTTTCTGTTTGGTTTCATAGAAAAGTTCCGGATGTGGGTGCGAGGGGACTTCACAAAATTCCTGGAAAATCATGAGAAAACTGTGCATTTCAAAAACGCGCACCACAGTGAAGTGAACTTTTAACCGTTTCCCACACGAGTTTGGAGCCTCTGGTGGTGGGGAAGATGGCACGCGGCAGGTGCACTTCATCCCTCGCCGCGGCTCCAGCGATGGACCCTGAGCTTACGCTTGTCACAGTGAGAAATGTGACCAAGCTCTCGAACCGGAGGGCGCAAGTCTTCAGATCCTATAAAAAGACGGATCCGCTTTAAATAGAGACAGCTTCAGCGGGCAGCGGAGAAAGGGCTGTGAGTGGCTCCACTAACATCAGACAAAGCGATCTCAGAGCAGGAGCTGTTACAGACAGCAAGAGGTCGGAGGCCTGCTGAGTGTGTGCGGAACAAGAGCTCTCGGCAAGAACAAGAACTGACGGAATCGAGAGAGAGACAGAGAGACAGAGATCTCCAGTGTTCACGCCTCCGCCAGCCATCGCTTTTCGGGAGGAATCCAGAAACCAGTGAGAAGGTGGAAAACCCGACCGGCACAGCCCACCAGGCCGGCCTCGTCCGCACACACACGGCCTTCCTCTCAGCGGCAGCAGGCCACGCGTGGCCCAGGACACGTCCCAGCATGTCCCCGACGACTGACGTCACACAAAGCACACGCTCCGGCCATGGCACAGCCCCGTGATGAGAAGCCACACGCCTGGAAACCACGCCCTTGGAAGTGCCCACGGGTCCACGAGGCGCCCGCGAGAAAGCAGCCGTTTCCAGCTCCGCGCAGGTGGAAATGCACCACAGCACGGCCGGTGCGCCGCAGCGACAGCTGTGCTGAGAGACGTTTCCACGAGACAAGGGCTGGTGCCGGCGTTGTGCCACAGTGGGGGATGCCGACATCCCGTGCCAGAGCGCCCATTCAAGTCCTGGCTGCTCCACGTCTCGTCCAGCTCCAGCCCATGCGCCTGGGAAAGCAGCAGAGGACGGCCCGAGGGCTCGGGCCCCTGCACCCACACGGGAGACCGGACGGAGCTCCTGGCTCCCAGCTTCAGCCTGGCCCAGCCCTGGCAGTTATGGCCTTTTGGGGAGTGACCCAGCGGGTGGACAGTCTTCCTTTCTCTGTCTCATCCTCTCTGCATCTCTGCCTTTCAAATAAACAAATAAATAAAAAAAATAGCAGCAAACCTGATGAGCACCGCAGAGGTCCAGTGATTGGCAAATGCAGCATCCAATCCATGGTGCTATACTCGGTGCTACCACCTCCACCCCTGGTGCTGTACTCAGTGCTACAGTGTCCACCCCTGGTGCTGTACTCAGTGCTACAGTGTCCACCCCTGGTGCTGTACTCAGTGCTACCACGTCCACCCCGGTGCTGTACCTGGTGCTACAGTGTCCACCCCTGGTGCTGTACTCAGTGCTACAGTGTCCACCCCTGGTGCTGTACTCAGTGCTACCACGTCCACCCCGGTGCTGTACCTGGTGCTACAGTGCCCACCCCTGGTGCTGTGCCTGGTGCTACAGTGTCTACCCCTGGTGCTGTACTCAGTGCTACAGTATCCACCCATGGTGCTGTACTCAGTGCTACCATGTCCACCCCTGGTGCTGTACCTGGTGCTACAGTGTCCACCCCTGGTGCTGTACTCAGTGTTACAGTGTCCACCCCTGGTGCTGTACCTGGTGCTACAGTGTCCACCCCTGGTGCTGTACTCAGTGCTACAGTGTCCACCCCTGGTGCTGTACTCAGTGCTACAGTGTCCACCCCTGGTGCTGTACTCAGTGCTACCACCTCCCCCCCTGGTGCTGTACCTGGTACTACAGTGTCCACCCCTGGTGCTGTGCCTGGTGCTACAGTGCCCACCCCTGGTGCTGTACTCAGTGCTACAGTATCCACCCATGGTGCTGTGCCTGGTGCTACAGTATACACCCATGGTCCTGTACTCAGTGCTACAGTATCCACCCCTGGTGCTGTGCCTGGTGCTACAGTGTCCACCCATGGTGCTGTGCCTGGTGCTACAGTGTCCACCCCTGGTGCTGTGCCTGGTGCTACAGTGTCCACCCCTGGTGCTGTACCTGGTGCTATAGTGTCCCATCGTAGTGCTGTACTCAGTGCTACCATGTCCCCCCTGGTGCTGTACTCAGTACTACCGTGTCCCCCTGCTGCTGTGTCTGGTGAGACAGCACCCTCCCCCTGGTGCTGTACTCTGCGGACACAGGAAGGGGTCTGGGTGCAGGAAACCGCGGGAACCTCCGCTGAGCTCAGTGAAAGAAACCAGACGCAGGAAAGTGGCCTCCCGGGAGACGGTTTATAGGAAATTCTAGCGCAGGCAAAACACGGCAGACGGAAAGCAGGCCGCGGGTTCCAGGCGGGGCTGCAGCCGGGCTCCACGCAGGCCACCCAGCGCAGGGCGCAGGGCGCGGGGCGCAGCGTCGGGGCGCAGGGCGCGGGGCGCAGGGCGCAGGGCGCGGGGCGCAGCATCGGGGCCCAGTGCACCCCCGGGCCTGCGTGGAGCCTTCCCAGGACACCCAGGGTCCCTCCCAGGACAGCTTTCGCTAAATAAGTGCAGCGAGACAGGCTGCGGGTGCAGGGGGTGCAGGGGGTGGGGCCCAGGCCGGCCCTGGGTCCCCAGGTGGGCCACCCAGCTTCTGGGGGACAGCGACGGCTAACGTGGGGCTCCACGGGGCGCCTGGCCCAGGTCCGCCTCCAGCTTGTGCTTGCGAAACAGGCAGTAGAGCAGCCGCAGCGTGCTCTTGGCGTCCTTGTTCACGATGGCTGTGGACGGGGTGGGGGCGGGGGTGACTCCCGGTCCCCGCGCCCCTGGGCCCCGGGGCTCCCCATGGGGCAGTGTCCCTGCCAGGCCTGCACCCAGCGCCCAGCACACAGCCCCGCCCCCTGCTTCTGTCCAGGGCGCCCCTGCAACCCCAGGCCCTGCTTCCTGAGTTGGCTCCGCCCATGACTTCAGGCCCCTCCCCCTCCACAGGGCTCTGCTGCTGGGCGCCCAGGTGGCCTCCCGGGAAACCCTGGCAGGCGGTGGTCGCCGTGTGCCCCAGGGAGGCAGGAGGCGGGAAGCGGGATGTGGGATACTGGAGGGCCCCACCCCCCCACCCCGGGAGGGCCCCACCCCCCACACCCTCACACCCGTGTCCCGTGTGCCCGTGGGAGATGAGAGGGCCGCCCCCCTCCGCGCCCCCGCCCTGTGCCCGCTCGTGGCCGCGCTCACCTTCGGGGCTGACCGGCTGCTGCAGGAGGCCGTGGTCCCTCAGCAGCTCCAGGGCCAGGGTCACGTTGTGCAGCTACGAAGACAAGGCCCCGGGCCAGCCCGTGAGGCAGGGCCCCCGCCCCTCCCCGCAGCGGTGGTGGTCCAGCACCTACAGATGGGGCCCCCTCCCTTGGCCACTCGCAGGCCTGCCCTGAGCAGGTGCCGCACACTGGGCGCCTCGGGGGTCGGGGGAGGTGAGCCCCGCCGGAGCAGCGGCAAGGGTGCGTGGTGGGGGCGGGGAGGCAGAGACCCCCTCAGAAGCCCCCAGTTCTTTCTCCACCGGCAAGGCAGGGTCAGGAGACCCAGGCTCAGCGGCGCTCAGGTGAGAGAAGGTGCCGGAACCAGGCCTGGCTCTCTGATGCCTGGGCTAAGCTGGCTGGAGGCTGGAGGAGCTGCCCCCCGGGTGCTGTCCCCTGCCCAGGCGGCAGCCTCAGACTCCGCCCCAGACCGGCTCGGTGCCCGGTCTATCACGGCAGGACCCCCCAGAGCCCTGACCGTGCCAGGACTCATCACAAGCTCAGGGCCAGGCTGGGCCCCCACACTGTCTGCCCCTGCACCCCGTTTGCCACTGCGCCCCGTCCCTGGGTCCACAGCTTGTCCTGAGCACCTGCTGCGGGCCAGTCAGGCGACGGAGGCTGAGGGACAGCTGCTCCCTGGCCTGGAGGAGCCGCTGCCATCGCAGCCAGCAGTGACACCGTCTGCCTGTCACCTTCGTCACCCGCCTCAATGGGAACGGGAGACAGCTCGCGGGAGGGTGGCCCAGGCCCCGCGAGCCGGCTCCCCACGCTCCACGCAAGCCTCGTCCGCCATCCTCGCCGGTCTGAGCTGAGGACGCTAGCCCGGCTCTGCTCCCCCAGCCTAGGGAAGGTCGTGACCTGGGAGGGCCGCTCTGTCCTCTGGGGAAGAAATCATTGTGAGCGGGAGGGAGCCGAGGCCTGGCGCTGGTTCCGTTTGTGCCGAGCCAGCGAGCCCGCGGTCACCTCCCTCCCTGGTCCCCAGCCTCTCTCCCCATGGCGCCTGGCAGGTGCAGGGGCCGCAGCTGCTTCTTCAAACCCACATCCTTGGGGCCCAGGGAGGCCCTGGTCCTCCACCCGCCTCCACGCTGCCTGCTGTGGGGAGCAGGTTCAGAGACAGGGGCCAGCGGCGGGGCCTTGGGGACGTGGGACACACTGAGCCCGGGGGTCCCCGCACCCGAGTGACAAGGAGAGGAACCCCGTCAGCTCTGGGCTGCGCTCTGAACCCTGGGCCCTGACAGTGCTGCCTCCTGCGTGCGGGCCCTGCCTGGACTCTGTCCCTCCTGAGCCCTGGCACCCCCTGTTCCCCCAGGGGTCTCACCCTGGCCCCTGGGAAAGAAACTAGGAGAAGGACAAACCTGGACGCCGGCCCGCCCTCCATCGTGACCAGCAGGGGTCGCTCTCGGCCGGGCCCCGGCCCCTCTCTGACTCGGTTCCCCCAGGAGGACGCGGCAGCGGGCAGGACAGCGCTCCCCTGGCCGATGCTGCTCCCCCCTCTGCACCCACCAAGGCCACGGGTATGCTCTGGCCGGCGGCAGGAGCTGGTAGCGGAGCCCCCCAGCCCCGCCCGGGCTTACGGTGCCCTGTCTGTAGGAGCACCTGCCAGGGCTGCCCACTGGTCCCCGGAGAAGCACCGAGGCACCCAGCCAGTGTGGCCTGGTCACCAGCCAGTCCCAGATGAGAGTGCAGGCCCAACCGAGCCCCCCGCCGCCAAGCCCGGCCAACTCACAGGTGTGGTTCCAGCCACTGGGTTTGCGGGTGGTTGGCTGTGCAGGCCCATGGTGGCACCGAACAATTGGCCCGGGGCCTGGGCATGGTGGGAACCCCAACATGCTGTCCCTGCTGCTACCCCCTGGCCTGCTGGCCCCAGCCCACAACCCTGTCCTGGGGAATTGAGCATCAAGAGCGCCCCCTGCTGCCGGGGCACAGAGACCACACCCACTAACAGTGGCATCTCTCAGGGCTGGTACGGCGCTGCAGCGGTTAAGCCGCCGCCACAGCACTGGTGCAAGTCCCAGCTGCTCCACTTCCGATCCAGCTCCCCACGGATGCACAAAGACTGTGCCAATGGCGTAGACCTGTGCACCCAGAGGCCACCCGGGAAAACGTCAGCAAACTCACCTTTTCCGCAGGAGAACTGGGCGTGAGGTAGAATTCCTTCAGGTGCAGGAAGAAGCCTTGCAGCTGTCCGATCAGCAAGAGCAAGATGACCCCATCTGCAAACTACAGAAGACGGGGCCGGGGCCGGGGCCGCCGCCGGGGGACAAGCTGCAGCCGACCACCCTGGGCGAGTCGCACAGCCTCTCTGAGCTGGGGGACAAGCTGCAGCCGACCACCCTGGGCGAGTCGCACAGCCTCTCTGAGCCGGGGGACAAGCTGCAGCCGACCACCCTGGGCGAGTCGCACAGCCTCTCTGAGCCGGGGGACAAGCTGCAGCCGACCACCCTGGGCGAGTCGCACAGCCTCTCTGAGCTGGGGGACAAGCTGCAGCCGACCACCCTGGCCGAGTCGCACAGCCTCTCTGAGCCGGGGGACAAGCTGCAGCTGGAGCACCCTGGGCGAGTCGCACAGCCTCTCTGAGCTGGGGGACAAGCTGCAGCCGACCACCCTGGGAGAGTCGCACAGCCTCTCTGAGCCGGGGGACAAGCTGCAGCCGACCACCCTGGGAGAGTCGCACAGCCTCTCTGAGCCGGGGGACAAGCTGCAGCCGACCACCCTGGGCGAGTCGCACAGCCTCTCTGAGCCGGGGGAGACAAGCTGCAGCCGACCACCCTGGCCGAGTCGCACAGCCTCTCTGAGCCGGGGGAGACAAGCTGCAGCCGACCACCCTGGCCGAGTCGCACAGCCTCTCTGAGCCGGGGGAGACAAGCTGCAGCCGACCACCCTGGGCGAGTCGCACAGCCTCTCTGAGCCGGGGGACAAGCTGCAGCTGGACCACCCTGGGCGAGTCGCACAGCCTCTCTGAGCTGGGGGCCCTTTTTGAGAAGTGGAGAGAACATCCCTGCCTTCCAGGGGTGTTGTAACCAGCAGGTGCCAAGCCTGGGCCGTAGAACACGCCCAACGTACAGAGCTCTTTCTCTAAACGACACACGGTTCCAGGCGCTACAGAGACCCAGGAGAAAACGGGCGTAAAGTCATCCCATCAGAAACAGGCAGAGGCTGGAGCAAGGGGCTCACTCTGCCTGCTGCCGCATTAATATTTCTGTCTGTTCTCTCTGGGCTCAGAGACGGAGCTGCCGTGCCGCCACCAGCAGGTCGTGTGCTAACATAATCCCATCGAACTCTTCAAAGACTCAAAACCCAAGATCGGATATGGGAGAAAATCCACCCCTCCCAGTCCTTAATGGGATTTCCTCCCGTTAAGCCTGCTTCAGTGTTGTTAGCTCCGACCCAAAATCTCTCCTGCCGGAACTTCCCGGGAATCCACATGCCACCCCCGTGCGCGCCACCACGCTCCAGACATCGCCTTGCACCAGGGGAGAGAGGAGGAAAACACAGGCTGGGCTGAAGCCAGAAACCACAGTTTGATCCACGGGAAGCAGGTGAGAGCCACGCCCCTGCCGCTCACCCTGCTGGGTCGCATCCCAGGCAGCCTGCGTGCATCCCCCACGTCCCGTGAGGAGCCTGGCGCTCAGAGGAGCCCGGAACTGGACAAGGTCACGCAGCTATGTGGGCGGGCCATCCTTGGAGCCCACGGATGCAAGTGCAGAGGCACACGTCTGTCTGGCGCGGGGGGCGGGTGCTCCCCACCTGCCTCGTCTCCAGCACATGGGAGCAGGCGCTATGAGCACAGACTGCCTGGGTTCGAATCCCAGTCCCACCACTTACACGCGGTGGCACCTTGGACACGTTAATTAGTCTCTCCGAGCCTCAGCAGCCTCATCCATCAAATGGGTGGCATCGGGCGCCCATCGGGGGCTGTGGTGAGGCGCCCGTGAGCTGACACCGGGAAAGCCCTTTGTCCACCTCAGCCGTGGAGCAGTGTGTATCCGAGGAGGAGTACCCCGGCTAAGACCCTCCTAAGCCACCGGCCCCCCTGGGGGCAGATCTCGCCCTTCACCTCACCCCCAACCACACGGCAACACCCAGGCAGCCCGAGGCCCGCAAGGCCGCCAGCGGCCAGCAGACGCCCAGGCCACCGGGAAGGCCCCGGGCTGACCCCGAGCTGGCGGTCAGTTCTCTGCTCCTGTGTCCTGCTGCGCCGTGGGCCGTAGCACCTGGTGGAAGGCCGTGGCCACCTGCTTCTGCCCAGGACCACTGAGTTTAACTGGGCCAGCGTGGGCTGAGCTCCGGGCAGGCCGCGTCCGTGCCCCCAGGAATGCCTGGCCCCAGCGTCACACGTGGCACACGGCACCGGCCAGCAAAGGTGCCTGAGCCTGCAACCGCCCAGGGAGGACCCACGGGCCCCTGCGCAGGCCTCTCGTCGTCCACGGTTTGTCATGAAAGCTGGGCAGTGATGAACAGTCACGCCAGCTCTGTGCGGGGCTGCACGGCCCCGCCTCCCCCCCGCCCGGGACGCCCCTGGGAGAGGAAGACACTCAGTGTCCAAGAGGTGGCACCCCCGCCCCCGCCACACAGGGTGCTCCCAGGCCAGGGGCACCACGGCCCCTCCCTGCCTGGGGCCCCTCCCCTGCCCGAGTCCCTACCTGGGTGTCCAGGTTCTGCACAGACAGGCCCAGGCGCTCCAGCTTCTGGTTGACAAAGGTCACGATGGCCTGCCCCGGGGCGAGAGGGACAGCACCTGGCATGGAGCAGGCCAGAGCGAGGGCGGGAGGGAGGGGTGGGGAGGGAAGGAAGATGGGTGGGAGGGAGGGA